CGTCTCTGCTTTCACCTACCTCCCTAAACCCCTGCTGGGAGGGAGGTCATCAGAAACAGGAGGTGTAGCTTATTCTTCAGGCTTCTCAGCAGCAACATTCTCTTCTTCCACTAATGACAGAGCTGTCTGCTCTTGCAAAATGCCAAGAAGCCTCCATTTCTGCTGTGATGAGACAGGATGGGGAGTTACTTCTGCTGCCTAGGACAGGGCTCTGCATGAAGTCAGATGCACATCATCGCTTTAGCTGTATTTTCTTTTCAACAAGAGGGCTGAGTGTTATCAAACAAGTTGTGCACCCCCAGGGTCTGCCTGTATCTGGAGGAGAGACCTTAGAGACACACGTTGAATTCTGCTCTTCACCCACCTGCCTGCAGCCCTGGTTCCAGTCTATACCCATCCCTGGCTTCAGGAATTGCGAAGTGGAGGATGAGATGCCCATGTGTGTATACAAATTATTCTGTTACCTGCAACAGGCAGGGCCGCAAAGAGCCAGGGTTTTGATAGACACTGACTCTTCCAGTTCTCCCTGTTCCCTGTGATGAAGCTTGTAATGAGCTTTCCAGTGGCTGGGTTTCATCTTTCTACTGGAGCCACATAAAAAGACTGGGCACATACTCGGATGTGATGTGTAGCCGGGGAGGACTGGTTTTGGCAAAACCTGAGGCGTATGAGACAATCCATTTCTGAGACATGGGTCTTAGGGAAAATAAGTGTAATTCAGAGCGCTTGAAGCATCTCCTAATGCTTTTTCATGTCATATCTAAAAAATGGCTTGTCCTAGAAACTTCAGATTTGTTTAATTCAAGAGCCCTTGACGTAATCTAGCACAGATGAGAACTGAGAGACTGCAGTGCTTATTTGGAGTCATTCTCTTCCAAATTACAAATAGATTAGTGTTCCATCAGCAGCTGTGGCAGTTAGAAGGCTTTCCAGAGTGTCACATCGTCCTCGGAGTTCTTTTCCAGGAATCCCAGTGTCAGACTTGTTTCGCCCACGATGATCCTGCAGCAAGGACTGCTAAAATGCTCTGGAAACCAAACTCACCCCTGCTGCCTCCACCAGCCAGACCTCCTCAAACCTGCTTGCTTTCTCAGATAGCAAGGCTTTCCTTTCCTATGGCTTCAGTGCCCCATCATGGTATCACTGCTTCTTTGCCGGACGCATTCCTTAGGAGGAAGGATTTGCAGGCTGAGTGAGACGGGCTCAGTCCCATTCAATGCACAGATTGTTGGATGCGTTGCTCAGAGCACACTTGGAGAGGGGTGGCCCAGCTTGTGTCCCTGTAGCAGCTGAGAAGTGCCTGCTGCGCTCCCACCAGAGCTCACTGAGGGATGAGTGCAGCCTTGCACAGGAGATAACAGGGCACAAGCTCAGCTCCTTCCCAACACCCACCATAAATACAGCTCTAAAACAAAGCTTCTTGGAGGGCTCCACCAGGGAAATGCCACAATGGACAGGATCAAACCAGGGCGCAGCGCTGCTTCCTTCTTCCAAAATTACAGCAGCCCACCAGGAGCTCTGCCCTGGGAGCACCCACCGGCAGGACCAGCCCCACTGCCCCACTGCAGCGTGTGGCCCAGGGGTGTGCCGAGTTTCCAGCCCTCATCCACATCCCATTTCAGCCAACCCTAATTAAAATTAAGAAGTGTCAGACAACTCCTGGCAACAGTTCAGCTCGGAGAAGGAGGAATGAGCCAGCGGAAGTTTGGGAAGAGCTCTATTTGCAGTAATACAACTGAGATACTGCTGAAATTCGTTTCATCTCCAATGGCCAGGGTGTGGACTTCTCTTTTTCCATACTTATCAGACCTAAGGAGAGATGCTGTGGATAGGGTGTTAATTAGAGCTGATCTACTTGGGTATATTGCATTTCAGTAAGAGAGTGAATAACCCCAGCAGATTTTAATCCTGCTGGCAACTTGCCGAGTGTTGCGGAGAGATTATCTTTGAGGGTTAAAACTAGGCCAAAGAGCTAAAAGCAGCCTTTCATGAGAGAAGAAGGCTAAGGATCTAGGCTACAAGTGGTTGGCCAAAGCTCTGGGATAATCAGATTGAAATCCTCAGCAGAAAGTACATGGAAAACAAGATAAATCCCAATTGCCTGATTTCTGTAGGCAAACAGGCAAGCAGGAGAGAGGAGAATCCAAGCACTTTCTCCAACTGGAAGAAAAGCTTCACCTGATGTTACTTGCCTTCTCAACCCCATTGAATGAAACATTTGACAGAGCTACTTTGGCTTTTGAGATTGAGGAGGGGGACCCAGCACTGATGCTAAGGAGCCTCAAAGCAGTGGCATCTCAGGAGACCCTGAGGTGGTGGCCTCACGGTGTCCTAACACCTCCTTTAAGAGGTGGGTGAGATGTTTCCATGCTGAGGTCATCCAAAAACCCTTCTGGTGCCTCCACCCCCATGTTTATAAACCCTTTGAAGTGACAACGATTCACCCCTAAGGAGACACTGAAGGGAGATGAGCAGGGTGACCCTGGTTCACTTTGGGTGTGATTTTAGGTCAGCCCCATCCACCGGGCAGCGTTTGATGCACGAGGATTTGGTTACACCCAGAACGAGTTTCTCTTGTAAATGCACACATGGAAATGAAATTCAGAGGTGCAGTTTTCAATTGATAGGAAACAGGATTTGCACATAAATTTAACAGCTCTCAGGCCTTTCTGACGCCCACTATGCAACTGCTCAGAAACTAGGGGAGGTGGCCCCACGTTCCTCCAAGATTTACTGCAGCTCCCTCTCAGACCTCTCAGCCTTTTGCTGCATGAGCACAGGGAGCACTAAGTTCAGAGTTCAGATAGCATAAGGGAAAGGGGACACACTGATACGTCAGGTCAGAAGCATCCATGGTGCTACATTACAGACTGGGGAGATGAAATCACAAGTTCTGTGCTCTGAAGGAGCGAGTTTCAGAGACCAACATGGGTAGGTGGGAAGTTGGGGTCAGAGGAGTTAAAGGGCGGAAATCTGCATCCTTCGCAAGGGTGGGAAATGTACCACATCACAGAGGGTCCAGCAGATGCTTTGAAATCAATCAAGAGAGACATGAGCAAACAAGGACATTTCATCTGCCTTTGTCTTCCCCTCCGCTCCCTGTAAATTAACACCGGTCTTTAGGTGAAGTGATCTGCATTTGGAGGAGAACAGCAAAGCATCACTCTGTGATCACAGACACAAGGAAACCATCACTCTACGATCACAGACACAAGGAAAGCATCACTCTGTGATTGCAGATACAAGGAAAATTCAGGAGATCAATATAAGAGGTGCAAATGAAAGGAAAAAATAAGCTCAAGCTTCTCAGAGCATTAGGGAGCAAAAAGTGTTGAAGGAGGTTCAGAGGGTCTGAGATCAGTGCGAATTTCCATGTGCTTCACCTGACTCTTCACCGTCAGCAGCTTCTGAATGCAGAAAGTCACTGCTGAAAAACTCAAGTATTGAAACTTTTCAGCCTGTAAATGAGGGAGAAATTAATTTGTGTCCTTTCTGCTTGGGAGCATGAGTTGTAAATCACTCCATGAGCCGGTTCAGGGCAGGACTGGAGTGTGATTATATGATGGCTGGATTACTTTGACATAGCTTAATTCAATTAAAACACAGTTCTTGTATCCTGAGAAGAGATCCAGATTCTCCTCCAGTGACTGCACAGAGACTTGCACTGAAGTAACCACAGGAGGGAATTACACCATTTGATGACCTCAGCTCCAAGTAAAGATAGTCTAACCCTACAGTGCCCACAGGTCATGACATCAGTGCTGGTCCCACAAGGGTATCTTGCAGTCAGTGGGTATCTTTGGTTGGAGGAACCATGGCAAAGCCAGAGTTTGCTAAACAAATCAAAGAACTGAGGAAGAGCACACGGTCACAGAAATAGCTCCATCCACCCCGCTGCAGTGGATACAGACAGACACTGGAGCATGAGAGCATGAGGCGCAGCAGCATCTTTGGTGTATGTGGTTACTGCTGTCATTAACTTTGCTGGAAACCCTGCTCATTTGTCCTACACTTGAATTTGAAATGAGTGCTTCTTGTTTGGATCTTCTCTTCCACCTCTGATGTAGTGATCCTTTGGAAATGAGAGGGAAATGAAGCCAACCCAAAGGGAGGAGTAGATATCAGGCATGATTTTCGCCTTTATTGAGAGATCAAGCCTAGGAAATTGTTTCCTTCCCACATGGCTGCTTGTAAGTCCCCTTCAGAGACGATGCTCATTAATGCCTAAGAGGCTTCAGTGCCGTAGGTGGATATGAAATAACAGCAGAGCATCTGTTAGTAGGTCTCAAAATACCTTCTGCTTTGACATAATAATTACTTCTAAAGCTGAATAGGGATTTGGTGTGTTAAAATTCAGGAAAATAAATTAAAACTAGCTTCAGCTACGGAAAAGGCCAAACTGCAATGGGAAAGGACTCTTACACTGTGCTTGAGACCATGGCTGGATCAATTCAAGAGGTGTCTGGTATTTAAATAGGAGTGATGTTTACTCTCAGAATATTGCTAGAAACAAAGGGTCAGCTCTCCTTCATCATACCTGTTAGATCTCATATTCAGGATAACAATCCTATATAGAATCTAATTTTCATTACATTTTCTTGAAATCAGCATGATTTAAACACAACCTTAAAATTGTGTGTGTTTTCTTATGCCTGCTAACTTCGATGGTGCCCAGTCTTGCTCCCTCCAGCCAAAGGGAGCAACTGTTGCTGCTTAGTGGATATAAAAAGGAGAAAGCAATGCAGCTGAAATGACAAAGTCTTTTCATTAGGCACAAGGGACTCAACTGTTCATTGCATAGAGTAGTTCCTAAAAACAGCGAAAAGGTAGTGGACGATGAAGCACAGGAAAGAATAGGAAGCAAACAGCAAGAAGAGGTTTTTTTAGTAGCTTTTATCACTGTTTCTCAAAACTTTCACCTGGGAGCCCTGGCTCACCTGCTGCTGAGAGCACTGGGTGCTATTGAACAGCCATGGGAAACCTGCCCTGGGTTAAGCTGAGAGCACTGAGAACATCCTGTAAGTGAGGACTACACTAAAGAGCCCATGCAGTGGGATAAGGTGATTTATTGAATAGCATTTTGAAAGGGTCCATCAACTAAAAGGAAGGGGGGTGAGCGTCATATGTAGTGTTATGGGGGCTAATTCTCCAGCTTTGTCAGGTATGAGTGAGTCTTTCTTTTGGATACCAGGAGGAATTCCCCCAGCTAGTAGCAAAGGTCTCTCTGCTACTACCCTTAGTCACACTACAGACTAACAGTGAACAATTTGGACTGTTTCCAGGTAATTTAGGAGTGCAAAAAGTTCTCCTGATTAAAAGACTTGGGACATCTAATTAGAGGCTAACACAGGTTCAATGTGATTGAGCTGAGTAGTCATAAACCTCTTAAAAACATTCAGAAAAGCAGCACCTACTGAGGGTGTTTGTCTGTAAAGCCAAGCCCTACAGGTTTGTTCATGGACCTGTCAGTCTGGCTGTCCAAATGGCTTCTGGCCTTTATCTATACCATGTCATTAGATGTGACTTTAGTCCTGTTTTAGTACAGCGCCTACCTGATACCAACTGGGTATAAAGAATCACTCTGAGGTCAATAGCTCTTCATCCTGTGGCTTGGCTTTGGCTGATACACAGGGCACCCCATGACAAGTGGATTAAAATCAGGTAAGTCCTACAGTAACCTCTTTGAAAAGGGTGCTTGGAAGAAGCTGCTAGAGGTGGTACAGGGATGGGATGGGGACTAGATCACTTAGTATGCAGCTTTGCTCAGTACAGAGCAATTCTGCTTTGCCTCCATTAATCTCAGGATGTAAATCAAGACAAATGAACTCAGCTTCCAGGTTACTGGAGATAGATGACATTCATTCAGTCTGGCATTTAGCTATTCCTGTTGTTTACATTTGATGCCTTTTATAAATACACTATTTCTGATTAAGAAGAAATCTTTCTCTAAAGGTTTGCCTAATTTTTCACTTCAAAGTCAATCTTTAAAAACCTCTCTGCCATTATCAAGCCTGCAATGGTTTCATCCTAATCCCTCTTACAGTCTCCATTCTTATCCTTTGCTGAGGGAAAATGATAAAGATTTTTCTGACACATAACTCGAATGCAGTGCTGAAAGATAAGCTGTTTCAGAATAAAATGATGAATTTCAATTCCAAGCATTGGTTAATATTGCCATTTTTCTAGATATTTTCTACTGCAGATTGAACAAAGCATGTAAGTTAAAAGGCCTTTGCCTGAAATAGGAGCTCATACTTTCCTAAGATTCCTTCTTCCTTCTAAGTTTCCACTTCTAAGTATTGTCTTTCTATAGGAGCTAACATCCAGAGATCAAAAGCATCTTTATAATTAAAATTCAATCAAAACAAGGTCTTGGAAGCTTCCAGTACGTGGCAAAGCTGTAGGTGAACTTCGGTTGAAGATTGCTAGCTGGTTTTATTGTAGTTTAAGGTGCTTAAAGTTTCCCTGTCTTAAAACACTAGCATTCAGAGTTTGTCAGAAATACTCACAGGAAGACTGAATGAGGAGGCATGAGTGGGCTTGAACACTTGTCTTCGCAAATTCAACAGTCTTTCAGTGCAATTTGCATTGGAGGGATGGATGTGTAAGTTTACAGTTATGATCTGAAAAGGTCTGTCCCAGGGATCTGGAAGAAAAAGTCTTGTCTTGAATAAAGAGGCTTAGTGTAATTTTTTGGTGGGTATGAACTGGAATAGGTTCATTAAAGTCAATAGCTGCGTCAGCATCACCAGCTGGAGATTCCTGAATCAAAATCCTAGGAAACTGTATGTCTAAAACACAGATTCAGTTAAATACTTGTGTTTTGAAGGGAACCAGATGGAGAAATGTCTGCTCTGTTTATGCTCTGGCTGTTTTAGTTCATTTCTGGGGTGAAAGAAATCATCCATGGTAGTGTGTACACATCCCACCTCCTCTAGCCATAAGCTGTGTGTACAGAGCAGGATATACTGATTAATACAAAATAGAGTTCACTGCATCTTTAATATCACCAGGGGAGTATTAACCCAAGGAAAGTGGTGGTTCAGGGGGTGTTCTGGGGCTTCATCTTTCCCTCACCCTGTCTCTCAATTCCTTGCTGGACACTAGTCTGTGTCTGCAAACCCATTCTTTGGGCTGCTTTTTTCTTGCTCAATAGAGAAACAGCCACAGCAGCAGCTGGAGTCCTCCGTGGTCCTATTCAGATTGCAGCAGGACTATGTCAAAGCACTACCTGCCCATTAATACCACTGGGATCAGTGCTATGGGATCCTGCCAATCTGCTGCAGCAATGGCTATAACCATGAAAACATTTCCATCAACCAGCCTCCAGCTACAATCTGCAGCATTAGCAGCACCCTGTTGCAGATACAAGCAGTGAGTAGCCCTGGATACTAACACCCAGGCTGAAAGCCCTTATTTTTAAATCAAAGCACAGCTGTGGTGAATACCATGTGTGTAGAAAGTGAAGTCCTGTGTTGCTGGAAGTTGCTCTGATAAGTACTGTGCAGTAAGAATGTTGTATAGCTCAGTGAGGAACATCCCTGGCCCACAGAACCTTCCCCACAATGTTCTTGCAGTGGGACAAGTAAGGGGACTTAGGATTTGTGGGGTTAGTAACACTGAGGAACTTAGAGACTAACCCTTAGACCCCCAGAAAATGCACGTATTCACTTAGAGGCTATGTGAGACCTTCGATCAAGTGTGTTTCTGACCAGCTGGCCAGGAGCTCGAGCTCAAGTGATGCACAGAGCAGCTGTGTGTGATTAACTGTGGGGCTGCTGGCTACCTCTCCTAGTGCAGGGCCTCTGGGAGATGTTTTCCCCATAAAACAGTATTCAGTAGAGGTGCATCACTAGAGGTGGAATGGCAGTAGTTGGGACTTACAGCCTTTGGTGTGGAAAACAAAGCTAGAAGCCACCAAGTCAACGATGGCTTTAGATTTACCATGTGGAGATGATTCAGTGGGGAGAACTATACATCAGGAACTCCTATGTCCCTTATTCAAGTGTCTGTCTTCATCTAGGATAGTCTGTGCTGTTTCCAGTTTTGATCAGAAAGTTCATCACTGTCCAGAGACGCCTTTTCTCAAGGAGATCTGGTCACAATCAATACATTCCCAACATTTAGGGGCATCCTAAACGTCTGATTTCCAGGAAGTGTTCTCAAGAAAACCCCGATCCCAACCTGATGTTACGGAGATCTGTAACGTACCACATCTGTAATGTACCAAATCTGTTGCTTTGCTGAATGGCTGTTTTCGAATCATGAAATTGGCAGTGATACAAGCCTAAAAATGCAGCAAGAGGAAGCAGGCCCTGTTTAGCTGGTGAGAGAGGGCAAGCTTCACAGCACTGTTGGGTCTTATTCTGTTGTTTTGCACATAAAACCTCTCATTAATGGCACAATGAGGTGCAGGTCCACATTGGAGACTTTTGTTCTTGGGCATTACAATCACCAGTTCTTCTCCTTTTCTGCAACACTATTTTCTAGAAACCTTTGGAAATTATTCACTTCAGTTTTATTCCTCAGAGACAAAATGCTAATCCCCTGGCACTTCAGATGGTGAGGGGAGAGGGAAGGAAGGAAGGAAGGAAGACCTATGCAGTGTATTCATTCATTATTCCCCAGTACATGGGAAGTCATCTCTTTACATGATTGACCTGCCTGGATTTGATTACAACACACAGCTAACCTTTTCCAAATCTGGTTGTGTCATACAAGAAAAGGGTTGAAGGCTGTTGCCATGGTATTAAGGTATCTCTTGAGAAAGAAGTGGGGGGAAAAGACGGAGAGGAAATGATGCCGCTTTACTTCCTAGCCAAGTATAAACAAGAAGCACACGCACATGTTTTTGTTTTGGAAGCACTTTCAGCTTCTTATCGAGCCTTATCTATCAGTGCATTTCCTCGGGAAGGGAAGGAGGAATTGTCTGCTTTGCAGATCAGTGTCTCTTCAGCGGGTGGGAACGGGAGGGGGGGAGATGACAATTGGAGGGAGGGGAAAAAAAAGAATAAATCAGTCTTGGCACCATTCATGATTTATTCATGAGACACGTGAGGTTTGCATTTAAATGTGACATTCTCATGATCCCAATATTGTATATGCAAATCTAAAGCTTTCTGCATCTCTCCACATGCCCAGCTTAAGTCTCATCTCAGATCCACAGCTCTGGAAATGCAAAACCAGAGAGGTTCACGTGGTTTCTGGCTTCCTCCCTGTTTACTCTGTGACTCAAGGACCGTAAACCCTGAAGTGCTCTTAGTATCGGAGGTATAATTTACATGTCTTTATTTTTTATTTTCTTATGATATTGAACGCTCACAGTCAGAAAATTATTTATTAATGGTTTAACTTTCTGAGGGCTTCTCTGAGCTTTCCAATTGATTCCAAACGGAGAGTTATCACCCAGGATAGTGTATCAAGATTAACACAGAGTAAGGCTGCACAGCTCTGAACAGTTTGCACCTTAAGCTAACACTTCACACGTTTAAGTTGTCACTCAGATAAGAGGGAATGATTTTGTTTGCAGGTTTTTAATTAAGGTATTATTGATATATTAAAACAAATGTACCACATGTGTGCATTACACTGGCAGAGGGTGCCCAGAGAAGCTGTGGCTGCCCCATCCCTGGCAGTGTTCAAGGCCAGGTTGGACACAGGGGCTTGGAGCAAGCTGCTCTAGTGGAAGGTGTCCCTGCCCTTGGCAGGGGTTGGAACTGGATGAGCTCTAAGGTCCCTTGCAGCACAAACCAGGCTGGGGCTCTATGTGGAGAGCACAGGCTTCCCGTAACAGCAGTGCTCAGTTCAGGACATAACCTGAACCATGGTGAGGTCTGTCAGTCTTTGTCCCTGGTCTGGGACACTCAGCAAAATGAGAGAGGTAATGGTGTGGCTTTACAAAGTGATGCAAACTCTGCTTCTTACTACATGGATACACACAAACCTCTGCACAGGGGAGACCTTTGGCCCAGTATTTGCAAATGAAGTGGTTTGTGTAGGAAAAACACTGTTCTTGGGGCTCTGCCTGATGCATGTGACTGGAATGTTCCTTCATGATCCTGCTGCTACTTAGTGAACAAATCACAGCATAAATATTTTCTTTATATACAATTGGCTCAGCTCTGTCACCAGGATAATGCAGATATTCCTCAAGTAAGTTATTAACAAACAGCTACCACATTCATTAATAACATTTGTAGCTTTTATAGCACTTCCCACCTCCCTATTTCCTTGTCATATCGAAGTCAGAACTTACTGAAGCTGATTACCTCATGTTCATTTTCTGAGGTCAGGGCCCATATCAGCAATATTCTTCCTCTTGATTGCATGATTTTAAGTCCACTTCCTAAATCCCATACAGCCTAATATCCTATCTCCAACAAAGACTGCTTAAGGAATGTGTAAAAGACACAGAGCTTGTATTGAATGATAGCTCCCTAGGGAATTAGCTCAGCTTTAGGAAAATACAAATGTAGAGAGCTCCTGATGTTCTATATCCAGGTCATCACAACTAATTTCTTCCAAGAACTTGTCCCTTTTAAACTCACCTGTACACTTGGTCCCATAGTGCTCATAATGGCAGTGAGTTCCACAATTTAACTTGCTATGGGGTGAACAAATACTTACTTTGGGGTAATTTTCTACAGGTCCCACTGTTTTTTCCTTATAGTAAAATGGTTTTCCTGAGCATCTTTCTCCATGACACTCGTAATTTTAGGAGCCTGTATCAGAACTCCCTCAATGGTCTCTTCTCCAAGCTAAAAGTCTTATGTATTTACCTATCCTATTATTAGCTGCTCCTATGGAGGCAACTCACAAGTCATGCTTGAAACCTGTCTTTATAAATTTTCCAGTTCTCCAATATCCTTTCTGAAAGGGAACATCAGGACTGCTTGCAATATTTAATAAGATGGAACAGCAGGAACTTACTTATTTATTGCCACGGAATTCCTCCTGCCATTGCAGCTTCCCAGTAATCTGGGTGGCTGCTCCACAACACCTTTCCTCCAGCACCAAAGCTGGCCTAAGGAAATACAGGAATACTTTGCATTTTATCTGCAAACATCTTCATTGTGTCATTTGCTCTCCTTCCCAGACTGCTGATGAGCACACTGGACCTCACAGACCCCTGCCCACAACCCCTTGGGGCCCCACTGGCATCCTCCCTGCTCAGGTGAGAACATCCTCTGCTTTGTTCCTGTCCTTTGTTTCCCATCTGAAATCTAATTATCTGGCTCTTCAAGGCGACCCTCTTTTGGCCCATGACACTGCCTCAGAGCCCCCAGCACCAGTGTCTGTTTGTCTTTCCCAGTGATCTCAGAAACTTGCATTCAGATAGACATGGAAAGGTTAACAGGGGAAAAAAACCTCACTGGAATTAAATATTGAAGAATAATTTATAGATGTTTTGGCCACTGCTCTCATATCCTCTTTTGCCATGTCCTCAATATGTTGAAAGGCTGGTACTGATACAAGTACCTAAGAAAGCGCACTGGCCAGACTGGGGGCCCTGTTTTACCAGCCAGGAAAAAGAATTCACCCAGGGATTACATTATTGTTTCAAGATATGCTATTGGCTCGTTTCAGCCCCCATTTAAAACCTGAGAGGGATAAGCACTTCCTGCAGAAAACAACCACCAAACCATATGCATGCTAAAGTCAAAGATTCAGAGAAGACTGAGTTTGCTGGGTTGTCTTTGTTTGCTTGTTGTTAGTCTTGGTTTAGTGGCTGGTGTTTGCAGCCACTCGATGCTCGGTAGCATTGAAACAAAGCCTTTTATGCCAATGAATGCCACAGCAATGCACTTGCTCTTGCACAGAGCTACTTGCTCCCTGCCTTTGAGAAACGCAAGGACCTTTGCTGCTGCTTAAAGAAATCATGGAACTGTGGAATGATTTGGGTTGGAAAGGACCTTAACGCTTATCCAGTCCCAACCCCCTGCCATGGGCAAGGACACCTTCCACTAGAGCAGCTTGCTCCAAGCCCCATCCAACCTGAATACATAAAACAACGAAACTCATGTTAGAGTGATGAAGCCCAGAGCTGGGTGAAGTGGGTGCTCTGGAAAACCAGGCCAGGAATGATTTCAGTACTCCAGCAGTGGATGGGGCAGGTTTCTCCTTGCCTTCCAGCTCCCACATACCTCAGGTATCGGAGCTCTGCCCCCAAGCCAAGAACCCTTGGACATCATCTGGGGCTTCATGCGTGAAGAAGGGAGCAAGGGGAGTAAGCAGTGCTGTCACAGACACTCAGATGTGATTTACTTGTGCTGTGCAAGTGGGTTTCACCACGTTAGAGTCTGCTCGTGGCTGCATTCACGTGGAGCAGGATGTGCTCTTAATGCAAGCAAAGAATGTGCTCCCTCGCAGACCTTGGTTTCTGCAAGCATGGCCCCTGTGAATGTAATCAATGTTGTGCAGAGCTGCAGAAAGCGAAAACAAAGCCAGAATGATCATTGTGCTAAGTTTGGGCTCCTCATTGTTCATTGAATTACATCAATGTTTTCTTTAGTTGCACAGTCAGCTGGCAAAGGCCTGGTTGAAATCTCGAGGCTCTCCTTTCATGGGGAAACATGGATTTCCGGGAGATGCAAGCTCTGCTCTGCATCACAGTGCTGAGCCTGCTGTGGCCCGGGACAGGACATGACAGCCCAGGCAGCCGAGGAGCTCAGCCAGGACCTGTCAGTGAGAGCTGTAGTGCATCCGCAGGAAAAGAATACTTGTTTTGTCCTTTTATTTTCATTTTACTTCATATTTAACTTGCAGAAACCATTTTATCTGCTTTAAAAAGGAATAATTAGCCATTAAAACTTTCTCTGTGGAGATCTCCTCTCCCCAGTTCATGACCATAAGGAAGTATTGTGGTTTACTGGCATTTTATTAAGGTTATCCTATGTGACAAAAATCTTGCTGAGATCCAAAGACTCCCTGGATGCACAAAGTGAGCCATGAGGCTCTGATGTTCACAGGAACCCCTCCTGGTGGCAAACCCCTGGAGCCTTGTCCCTGCCCGTTACAGTGGTGAACGGTGTTTGTGTCAGTGTAACATGGGATCCCCTGGAATGTCAGGATGAGGTAAATCTTTCTTTCCACTCCTGCATTCACGTGTGTCCTCCAGCAGCTGTTGAGCAAGGTTGACTGGATGTTCCCGGTCCTTAGTACAGATGGAGTCTGCTTGAGTGCAGGTATGCTCATGAGCACAAGTGTGCTGCTGAATGGGAGCCACTGCTCATTTAAATTTAACATGATTTCCCTCTAAGTCTGATTTTCATTACCCACAGCCTGGCTTCCCCTAGAAGACATCTCTCCAGACACTTCCCATGCTGTGTCTTAGAGCAAGCTCATCCGGAAGGTGCAGAGGTCAGGACATGAGCTGTGGAGAGGTGCAGTTTGGCTGCAGTTTGGCTTTTGGAAGGTTGTATTTTCACTTGATCCATAGCATGTGATGAGCAGCTCAGCCTGCACAACCCATGCTGAGTTCATGGTGTTTGCCTTGCTTAAGGGCTGCCTTTCTGGCTTTAAGTGTGTGGAGGAAAGCAGCAGTAATATGGCAGAATCTGGGATGGGGTTTACTAAGAATCAAAGCAAAAACCTGTGGAAGAAGCTCTACAACACCCCTGTACAAGTTTCCTGATAAGCCTGCAGAACTTAGGAAACTAAGAAAAGGAAACTTGGGCATGTTTAGTGATAGCTGCTGCTTTTATGTGGGGGGCAGCTCTTGCATAGGCAAAGAGAGAAGGTGGCCAAGGTGAAACTCAAGCCCAGAAGACCAAGGAGAGGAGGCAGAAGTAAGAGGCAGGATGGAGCAAAGGGACTGTCAGGGCAGAAGGGGCATTGAGGCAGCAGCAGTGGATGGGGAGGGAAGAACAGGGGCAGACACTAAGAGGAGGAAGAGTGTGGGTCGTGGTTTGGGGTATTTTACCAGGGTGTCCAGAGCTGAGAACCAAGGTCTCTGCAGCTGGGCCTGAAGCAGGCAGGGCTCATCCTCAGGCATTAGATGGAGGAGGTACCTTTTTGGTGAAGACTGAATTTATCAGGGTTAACCAATTTGTGATTTGTATTGATTTTGCAACTTCTTTCTGCAGGACAAAGAGAGGAGGGGGGAGAGATTGAAACTATTCAGAATACCTCATTTCAACATTTTAAAGCCCAAGACATTTTCAGTTTCCACTTGGAAAGCAGGGCTCTGTTTCCTGACTAATGTAATTATCCGAAGATGTAGAGGGCAGGAAATAACCTGACAGTTTTGTTTCAGACAGAAGACAGTCTGGGAGTTAACCCGTGACAATTCCCTGCACCTTCCCTGGCATTGCTGAAGCCTTTGGTTCTGCCATTGAAAGGAAAATCCATTGTTTGTAAGGCTGAGCTAATAACTCCAACCAGCATTTCCATGGGCAGCAGAAACCCTGGCGGAAGGCTGCCAAAAGCAGGGGAGTCAGAGTTCCTCTTCATGTTCAAAGCTTCAGACTCTCAAGCGCTTTAGCCATGCCATTACAAATGCCTAATGTCAGACTTGTGTCATACCTCTCTTCTCCCTCACTCCATTAGACCCACAAGAACGATGGTAGAAGCAGGAGTCATCCCAGGGCAGGCTGAAATAGCTAGAAACCACTGGTAATCTCCAGGTTCATATAACTTTTGTCCTTAAAAAGGTAACTTTCTGTCACTAGGAAAGGAAAATATTATATATATATATAAAGAGGAAGCTGAGGTGTAATTTTAGCCTTGATTCTTAAGGTGTAATATTTGGGGTTGACAAGTAGGGGTGCAGCGTGTCTGCATGTGTGGGAATACAGGCAAAACCCACTTTTAAAGTGTAGCACGTGTACCTAGTTTCAGATCAGAGGCTACCCTGGGAAATGCCCACCGTGCCACAGAGTGCCCGGCAATGATACGCTGGGTGAAAGCAAAAGCAGAGGCTTGGGAACACTAGAAAATGGATTTTGACATTTAATCCTGGACCCATTGGCAAATCCCACAACAGACATTATTTTTTTTTCTCCCTGGCACCGCAGAGCCCCAAGAAACTGGTTGAAAAAGAAAAGGAGAATTAATTTCAAAGACCAGCCACCAATCTTCTCCCTGGGCTGAGGTGGGCACAGCAGCACCAGCCCACTGCCAAGACATTGAATAAGTTTAGTGAGAGAAGCCAACTATTGCAAGCTCAGGAGATCATTTATAAACCAAAAATCACTCTCTGCTGCATTGAAGAGCTGGAGAGATGCTCTCAGAAAGACTAATTCTTCTGGGTAGAAGAGGAGAGCATCGGCTTCACCCCTCAAAAGGAACCAGCATGATGATTCAATTGCATCACTTTCAGAGCGTGAGCGAGACAGTCATTCAAAGGGGAGTTATAAGGAATGCCTCCTTTGCTTTAGGAGGAAGAATACTGAAGAAACTGTTAAACTTGGTCACAGTATGTGACATCCTTGAAATCAAAAGCAATACTTCTTCTTGGCGACTGCACAGTAAAATTAAAGATACGGAGCCAAATTCATCTCTGGTGTAATACTCCTGCCAGTGCCTGGGGAGGCACCTGGGATTAATTTCCTCTATTATACAAGTGGCACAAGACCCTGACAAATTGTTTTGAACATTTCTTGTAACATGGAGTTACAGAAACCTTATTCACTAAGTGTTCCAAGCGTGCGAAATGGAGCGGCTCCAAGCTCCACCTTGCCAAGGATGGGATAGAGTGATTCCCACCCTGCTCACGTGGGAAAAAGGTAGGAAACCACTAGAGTTTACTGATTTCTTAAGCAGAAAAAATACCTCCACCAGGATATCATTGATCAAGGGGGGAACATGGGCCTTGGCGTGTCCACCTTGGTGTAGGGGCAGGTCTTTGACTGGATTTGTGGGCTGGGTTATAGGCTCGATGGCCTTGACCAGAGTGTTGCAGGCAGAGTTGAGCATCACCTCCTCAAACTCTAGGGTCTGTGACACCTTCCCCAGGCTGCAGCAGAGCGAGCTCACCTCTCTCTATTCCTGCAGGCCTTCTCCTTTGCCTGGGGGTAACTCTTGTAAACTCAGTCTGTGCCTGTATTTATGTTCCTGGACATAACCCACTTCTTTGCTTACAGTTTGCGGGTGGAAAGCTTACGTTGTCCTGGAGGAATTATAAACATCTGTGTGGTGTGCTGGTGCTCACTGTGCCAGCGTGCCAAGACGAGAGCTGGGGCAACACTGGCTTAACACCCCCCAGATGGGTCTGGTCCTCATCCCTGAGCACCTCGCTTTGTGGAGTGCAGGCCCCTCTGTCTTCTGTAGCCATCCTTACCTTGTTGCCCTAATTTACAAGAGAGTCACTGGCCAGGTCAGGTTTAAGCAAGCACAAATCATTCAGATAATCTTCTCCTCCTATGTAGCAGCACTAGGAAGGAGGGCAAGCTGTTAACTTCCCTGGAAAACAAGGATACCCAGGCAGCCAAGCAGCCAAACAAAGTCAAAGTCAAACTCGGGACAGATGTGAATACAGAGCCCACGGTCAGGGCTGTTCAAGCCACCTGCAGCTGGCCTCCCCAGTCTGCATGTGGCAAGTAAATTCATTTTCTAATGTGCTGCCCCACATCTTGGGGGTGGAGATCTGCTGGTCGCTTGACACCTTAAGAAATCAGGAGTATGTTTCGGTATGGGTTTGGGGAGGTGAGGTTAGGGACAAGGTTCTCTCTGCCTTTATTAGGGAAAGGATTTCATCTCCTGTGTTGAAACTTCCGGCCAGCAGCAATGATAACACATGGTCTTTGAGAGGACAGGTCTGCTGCAAGCTATCAAATACCCTCCTCCTGCTACATCACTAAAAGAAATAGTTCACTATGAGGGTGCTGAGGCACTGGCACAGGGTGCCCAGAGAAGCTGTGGCTGCCCCATCCCTGGCAGTGTTCAAGGCCAGGTTGGACACAGGGGCTTGGAGCAAGCTGCTCTAGTGGAAGGTGTCCCTGCCCGTGGCAGGGGTTGGAACTGGATGAGCTTTAAGGTCCCTTCCAACATGAACCTGTCTGGGATTCTGTGATGATCACGTATATCCTAAACTGAGCCTAGCTTGCTGTGGCACCCTGAAACAGGGACTATTTACACAGTCCTGAGCTGGCTCTGCAAACCATTATCCATCATTCTCAAGCCCACTTGTTGTCACCCCAAAGAACAGGTTTACTGGGAGAACTCAGAAAGAGGAGGCCTCATGCAAAAGCTTCTGCCTTTAAGCAATGATGCCATCTCCCCATGATGCTGACACGTCATCCTCACCTCGCAAACCTGAGCTGCTCCTCTGAGGTTTTTGATGTTTGCTGCCAAATCTCTTCAAAGACTTGAACAAGTGGGTAATCAGAGCAGCTGTGTTTGTTACATTTAACCTCCATAAAATGTGCTAAACTCAAGCTTTCTTATGTTTCCCTTACATAAAAAGAAAGCCAGGTGAGGATCTTACAGATTCCACCTACCTGCAACTCCATTTGGGTAATACCCTGAAGGTTGGGAGGAAGCACAGAACCTGGATTTGATGTATCACGGTATCACCTTGAGCACGAAAAGGAACTTACTGGTATATTTTGCAGTGTTGGCAACTTTTGTTTTCAGCATCTTCATGTTCATGGAGATTTTGGAGGAGAAATGATTTACTTATAAACATCAGCCAGTTTGGTATTTGACCAAGGAGAAGCAGATATTTAACCAGAGGACAGCAGATATTTTCACGTGGGCAGAAGAACAATGTGAGTTGATGTGAAAAATCCTTAATGCTTCTCTGTCACGTTTGGGCTTGTTTTTGTTTTGCTGTATTTGGGTTTCTGGAATGTTTTATCCTATCAATGACATTAATTATGGAGTAATTGCCTTAGTAGCATGTAACAACTCTTCTCTTTTTTTAAGCAGGTTTTCACACAACGTGTAAACTTTGCTGTGTATGTGCTCCGTTTCTTGTGTCAGGGAATAACGTGTAGACAAAATAATGTTTTTCCTGTCAGAAATTCAATGGGCATCTAAAGCAAAGTGACAGGTGGTTAAATAGCTGCATTTAAAGGATGTCAAGAAGATTTTTTTGGACAGGTACCAAAACCCAATGCCAAAAAGAAGGCCTAATACCATCTGTTTTGTTAGCAGAGAGGCAATTTTACATTAAATTTTAAATGACATGAAATACCAAACTCATAACCTTGATTTGTGGGTCGAACCTAGCTTATCTAGATCGTGGACGGTGTTATTTACCAGCACAGTTCCTGACCCAGAGCCCACGCAGGTAAATGCACACACTTTCAATCAGCCCCATTTGAAAGTAATAGGAAGCTCTTGAGCTGCATTTAATTTTGTTTTGTATCACATGTAAATCCAGATCCAATGCCGATTTAATTAATCCAGTTTCATTGCATTTTAATGTACACATTTGCATTGTGTTTATTGGCAATTGGTTTTATCCATTTGTTCAGCATCTTTATGACCAATGAAACTCCTGAATATTTAGAGAGCTACGTACTTCCTAGCAGGAATGGGAATGTAGCTCTGCATTAAATAGTTCTCAGACATAAACTGGGGATAAGACTAAAATGTCAAAATATAGCTGCATAATACAGTGGAAAAGTGATATCTATATTCTAAGTAATAAACTGCAATGTGCTAAATTATTTTCAAATCATCTCAGCAGGCATTTTAGATGGTGCATTGAGAGGAGGAGGACTACTTGGAAACAAATAATGAAGCTGATAGATCCAGACACAGTTTCCTGCTTCTAAAAAGTGCCTTTGAAATGATGATTGTTCAGGTTTAGTCTAATATTTAGATACTCGCTGTAGAGTTTTCTCTTCTTTGTGAGGAGTCCGTGTGGCTTAAATGGGATTGCTGAGATAATCATGCTCTGCTGTTCCTGTCCCAGGGCTAATGTTAGGCATGAAATGTGAGTTGTCATGTTTGGAGCTCCTCTTCCAACGACCCAGCCAAAGCAGCTACAAACACTGTGGGGTTTGCGAAGAGTCAGTTGTGAAGAGAGCAACAAGAACAGCATCTCTTCCCTTCTGTGTTCAGCTCCATGGCTCAGCTCTGCTGTGAAGGCAGCAGCTCAGGTGGTAACACTGGTTTTGTTGTGCTTTCAGCCACCCTGGACCTTTCCTATCAATCACCTTCTGACACTTGGCCAAAACACAAGGTCTTGACTCGTTTTTTTCCCTTGGTCCCCTGTTTGTGGTTCCAAGGAGGTGTCTTGCTGGTTGATGGCTGGGCCATTGAGCCACTTGAAAACTGCTCCTCTGAGGAGGCTCTGCACCACTTCTCCCTGTCCCTTTTGGCACTTGGCTCTGCATGGAAGACACCACCAGGGCACGCCATGGTGAGGAAAAGGCTCTGCTCCAGCCCCACAGGCAGATCTGTGCTGCAGTGGGGAAATGTGGTATCAGTGGCTGAGCACACTCCACCTCCCTGGAGGTTTAGTCTTTATTTCCCCTCTGCCCTAGGTCACCCTTGCAGTGAGAACCCCCCAAAGGGTGCTTCTTTGAGGTCTAACTGGCCTGAATTATTCCTACAGGTTATGTTGGTGCCAGTGATGGGTGCATAGGCTGCGGCTGAGCCCTGCGATTCTTTGTGCTGTTGGGATGCTCCTTGCTTGACTGTTGATATCTAATGCAAAGTTACTTGAGTCTCTGCGGCTGGCAGGTAAGACCTGTCCAGTGTAGACATCACCAGGAGAGAGCCAACATGTTGTCATCACGAGGCTCAGCATCCACCTGCTCCAATGGCTCCTGTGGAGCTGGGCTTTCCAGGGATGCTCAGCCACCCTCCTGTTGCCACCAGCTCCAAAAAAGGAGAGGCTGTTTTCTGTATGACCCTCTGGGAAAGGCTCAGAGACAGGATAGATACCAAAAAGTGGGGTTTGGGTGAAATATCTGCATTCAAACACATGCACTGGAAATTCCTCACCTTGGGAAAAACCTTTCAGGTGCCTGAATTCATTCAGCTCTCTCAGTGTGGACAACAGTGAGAGATCTTATAGTGGAATGAGGGCACATTGCTACTTCCTGAGCTCTGCAGCAATCCAGACATGGGTGACACAGCAGGAGCACGTCTGCTCTGTGCATACACCTTCCGGCATGGAGCTCAGGAGCTGCAGCCATGCTCATCAGAATCTTGGCCAACACCGGTTGTACGTTTACAGTGCCCTCAGGGCAGTCAGGCAAGGCCGTGCTGCTCAGGTAGGACATGAAGTGTGTTCTTCATATGCCAGGAAGAAGCTCTGCACCATTAATGCTGGGCTGCACCCCCAGAGCGTGAGCAGCAGCTCAGGGAGGGGATTCATTTGCTGTGCTCTGGGGAGACCCCCCCCCCCTGCAGTGCTGATCCAGCTCTGGGGCAGCAGCACAAGAGGGATGTGGAGCTGTTGGAGCGAGTGCAGAGGAGGCCATGGAGCTGCTGCGAGGGCTGGAGCAGCTCTGCTCTGGAGCCAGGCTGAGAGAGCTGGGCTGGGGCAGCCTGGAGAAGAGAAGGCTCTGTGATTCGATGTATACCTCTGCCTTGGCAGCGAGGGGTTGTATAATGCTGTTCCTACACAGAGAAGGACACCAAAATGCTGGAGGAAAGTGGGAGTTCAAACAAATCTGCATCTCCTGGTAGATTCCCCACTTGCTCTATGGGGCAGACAAGGGACAAAATACATTGAAATATGGATAAAAACAGGCTGAAGAAGGATTTAACAGCAGGTACAAGCTGGGGGCTTCCTGAACACATGGCAAGCCTGGGCAGGTCCCTCTGGTGCAGTAGGAGATGCTGAGGCACGGGCAGAGGCTGGAGGCACATCATGACACGTTACTCTTCAGGCCCTGGTCAAGCCAACCAATGCTCAGCTTCGCTGGGTTCTGTTCTTCTGACAGTCTAACAAGCAGAAACACTGGAGACACGAGGTGAGCTGTAAGAACATTTGTTTGATGAGGAACGTTTCCTCTGCCAGCTTCCCTTGGCATACATAGATGTAAAAAAAAAAAAGCATTATGATATTAATAGCAGTAACACTTTGTGGTGATGGGTGTTTGAGCTCATTCTCTGTTTGAGGTCTAACGAAGGCAGAGGAACGTGCAAAGTTTGACAGGGCTCGTTGTAAATCTCATGCTCTGGGGATCTGAGGAGGCAGGAAGGAAACGGTGCTTCGTGTGGGAAAGATGAGCTCTTAAAATGGTTTGAATGGGACCGTTGTGGGGTCTTGGGCACTGGGAAGAAACTGGTTTGTATCTGCTGAGGAGTGGCTGTAGGTTTGGGGCTGAAATGTATTGATTTTTGTAGGAAACAACAGAATTAAATCCTCCTGTAAGTGAAAAAGCCAATTCAGCCTTAACCATAAAGCTGCTAGCAATGACTCCACAAATATATGGAATATAATAATGATGATAATTATTAAAGATAATAATACACTAAAGCCTCGCTAATGACTCAGAGGCTGCTTACTAATTACTGCATTTTGTGTATAAACAAGCCAGAATAATGCCTCACAAAATACACTTTGTTCCATTATTTTGACAACTCTCGTTTAGTTTTAATTATTTATACTCCATAATATACCAGTCACTCTGCTTGGGAGGGTTGTGCAGAAAGAATGAAGCTCTAATAATTTGGTATGTCAGTATTTGCTGGAAGAGGGAGGGAGGAAACCAGGATGTGTGCAGATCAGTTAAGCACAAAGTTGTCATCCAAAGTATTATGTCTCTATAATGCATTTGACCAGGGGCCCTTGGATCCTCATGGAGAACTCCCAGAAGCCGAGCCTGCTGAAGGCCTGATGCTGATTCTCCTGAAAAATCAAATGGTTTAAGAAATAACAATAAAAGTGAAGTAGTTTTCGTGCCCAAATCAATTTTTAACATCAAATCAATATTTTTTCCACCATCACAAGGGCTAAAAGTTTGGGTTTAGTTTAAATGTGAGCTATGATTTTTACATAATCACTTGATTCCCAGAGCTGGCGTTCCCTCCAGCCCCCAGCCCACCTCCCCTCTCCCAGTGTTGGCCACACTCTTGCAATGGAAGATGCTTGTGGAAGAACTCGGCATTAGTTTAGCTCAGTTTGCCAGCCACAGAGAGTCCTGCAGGGTGCGTGTTGCAAGTGTCATGGTGTTTGCAAAGAAAAAAAGGCCATTTCCATTGGAGATTTGCCAGCAAACTGGCGCTGTCAGCCCTCTCCTAGCTCTCTGCGAGCATATGGATCAGTTGCAGTAACTCACTGTATCTGGGAGTGGAATAACATACTGCAAGAATGCTCCGTATATGATAGTATGCTCCACTGGGCTGGTTCTCTAAGGGGCCTGTTGTGAGAAGGAAGAAAGGGATATTGCACAGAGCCCACAGCGTGTGGCAGGAATGGGAGAGCCACACATATCCCAGGGCCACCCTGCACACCCCAAAGCATCCTTCTTCCCCATGGGATTTGGGCTTTCCACACCAGTGTGGGGACTGGGAGCACTGCTGGCTGGCAGTGGATGACCGCTGCTCCTCCAACAGTGGGGTCACAGGGGGAGGTGGCCTGGGGTGGTGGGAGGCTTCAGGTCTGCACGCCTTGAAGCCAACACTGGTGCTGGAGGCTGAGACCGGCTTTTCTCTGCTGAATGAGAGAGTGTCGGGAGATGCAGGTTCTGCAGGAGCGAGGCCCCTGCTCCAGGGTCGATCGGCACGACGGGAAGCATCCCTCTCCAGGGCTGGGCACCAGGAGCTGTGCGGGGGGGACAGGAAGCTGCTTGGCACCGTCCCGTGTTGCGAGGAGGCCAAAACCGGGCACGGTGAGGGGCAGAGGAGACGCGACAAGGTCCGCACCAGCCAGCGGGAGCCGGTCTCACCCTCGGTCTGCCGCTGCCCCGGCGGCTGCCGCAGCCTTGCCCTGAGCGGGTGGGCTGGGGCCGGGGGCTGCCCGCCCGTCCTGCCCCCTCGCAGGCGCCACTGAAGGGCTCCAGCCCCTCCGGTGCCGGTGCCGGTGCCGCCGGGGGGAGCCGCCCGGCCCCGCCACGAACAATAGCGGCCCCGGCGCGGGGCGGTGCGGAGCGGGGCGGGCCGGGGGCCACCGCCCGCCCCCCCGCCCGCCCCGTCTCCGCCCCCCGCGCCAGAGGCACCGCCGCCGCCACCGCAGCCGGGTCCATGCCCGCTGGAGCCCCCGGCTGCCGCCGCCCGCACCCCCGGCATGGACGTTCGGTTTTACCCCTCCGCACCCACCGCCGTGGGCTCCCTGCCTGGCGCCGACCCCACTTGCCTCGGGCCGCTGGATTATTATCACTGCAACAAGGTACCGGCGCGGCGGAGCCCAGCGCGTCCCGCCGGGGATGGGAGCGGAGCGGGGGGAAGAAAAGTGCCGCCGGCGGCTGGCTCCTGCGGGAGGGAATTTTGAAAGTGGTCTGGAAGCGGAGCGGGAAGAGCCGGCGGGTCCCGGCCCCGGCGGGGCGGGGGAGCCCGAGCCAGCGGCGCCGCTCGGGGCAGGCTGGGAGCGGTCGCGGCTCTTCGGGGCTGTTTTATTTCTGCCATCGTGGGTTTATTTCGTGTTTTTCCCCCGGGAGCGCTCGGCCCGGAGCAGGGTCCGTGCGGACTCGGTTGTTGTGGTTGTTGTCGGGCACTTTGCTGGTTGTTGTTGTTGTTGTTGTTTGCTGAGGTGTTTCGCACCTTGTTTGCGGGGCTGCGGAGCTGCCGCTCTGAGGTTACCGGTACCTCCGGGTCTGGTTTGGGGTGCGGGCTCCCGGAGCACCAGCCCGGCGGGGAGAGGTCCCGGACCTGCGTTTTCCCCGCTCACTGCAGCCGCAGGGCAAAGCACCCAGTTCTTGTAACGAGAGAGGGACCCGCAGGGGACATTTGAGAGCAAGGGAGGTGCTCTAGGAAATTTCCTTCATCCCGGAGGAGACGAACGGAGGGGATGGATGCTCTGCTCCGCGGATGAGGAGTTCTCCGAGTGCCGCCTGTGTTGGTGAACAGCGCTGAGGGCTCGTCAGCGAAGCTTTAGGAGTCAGAGTCCTTTGGAGGACCGAGACATGCCCCCGGCTGCATCCTCCCGGTCCAGCCTCGGGGAATCGCACTGATAAAAGTTAATAAAGGGAGGAAAATGCTCTCCTGCGTGGGGACTGCAGATCGGGGTGCCCTCGGCTCGGGCCTCTGTTGTGGTACTTCGGGATCAAACTCTTTAGAAACAAGAGGAAGGAAACCTATGCGGCTTCCCAGAACCAGCACATTAATCTTTACTTGCCAATGTATGTATTTAAGTGTTCTCCATCATTTGGGCTATCTCTTTTTATTAAGCTATAGCAAACCTCAGCGTTTGTGTTTATTTTGAGATGCCTGATTAAGCTGAAAGGAAACAACTTAAACTGATTTCTTCTGCACCCTCGTACTGCTCGTTTCAAACTGGTTTATTACCATTGCCGTTGCTCTTAAATTGCTAAATAAACTCTTAAAATACTAACGAGAGCCGGGTCACCTGGGAGCAAGTCGGCCGCGCCGCTGAAACGGCAGCCTGCAAAGAGTGTGAAAGCTGGAAGTCCGGGATCGTGTGAGCGTGAGCCGCTGGGAGCTGCGGCACCCCCAAATCCTGCTGGCTTTAGGGACTCGGGTTTACCAAGAAGTTGTTAGATGTGAACATCGCTTTAGTTTGTTTCCCAGTTTTCCGTGTGGGAGCTGGGTCTTGCACGCAGCACCGCGGGCCCTGCCATGGCTCGGGCGCCCTCAAGCAGCTCCCACCCGAGCCTTGGGGCGCACACACGGGCCCCCACATCGGCCGCTCATCCGTGGCCTGAATCCCTGAGATTAGTCCCGGATTAGGCGGTCTCAGTGGATCGGAGGGTCCTTGCTGCTGCGCGGTGCTGCAGCGGGAGATGGCATCTTCGGGGTCTGCAGCGAGCACAGCCCTGGAGAATGAGGAGTGCGTTTCCCCAGGGTGGACGGGACACCCGAGAGGAGCACCCCGGTACTGACCACTGCCACCAGATGCTGCTGTTGCCACTGCTACAGAGGATCTTGAGGCAGCGGGAGGAAGGAAGTGACTTACCTTTTCTGATATTCAGGGCTCTCTTTATTTCTTCTTTTCTAAGTTACCAAATGTCATTGGCTTGTGCACGTTTCTCTGTGGGATGAGGCTGCTGGAAAGAAGTCAGAGATGAAATGGGTCGACTTTTCTTTCCTGGCCGAATGCAGGTAGAACAGTTTTACCTTCAGCATCACAGCATGGTCCAAACCTATTGCCTGCTGCCTTCTCTTCAGGGAGCTTCTCCAGCCGGTGCAGGGTGCTGTATGGCTGAGGATCACCACCAGCACTTCATTACCTTGTGCTCACTATGGAGAGTGCTGCCTCATGCTTCTTGGAACTGCATGGGACCCTGTGGGAAACTCCAAAACTCACACTGGTCCCAACCCCATCACTCCCATCCAGTGCTGGTGGCTCATCCCAGAGCTGGGCTCAGCCAGTGTCTGCCTCAACACATTTCCACTTAAAAAAGCTACAGAGGAGGGGAGGGTGGGCTGGAAAAATCCGTTCTCCTGCTACTGCATGCAGGTATCCCGGATGAAATCCATCTTTACGAAGGACCTGGGCAAGAAGCACTTACAGGCTCTTCACTGTCCTCCCACTTCACCAAAGGTGCTTTAAAGCCCTTCAGTTTAAAGGCCTTATTTTGTGCAGGTTCAGCTTGATTTTTCCCTAAAAGGTGCTTTGTTTATGTCTTTATTTATTGGGGGTGGAGGCAGAGAGGCTGGGAGAGGCTGTGCAGTGTCACTGGGTATAAATAACTGGCTGAGAGCAGGGCAAAGCTCTGCCTGCACACCCCTCACCAGCAAGCTTACCGGGTAGATGTGCTTTAGCCCAAAGCATCCTGAAATGTTAATGTGATTGGTTTGTGCACTTACTGAACATCATATTGTTACCGTGAGGTCTGTGAGCTTGCCTGCATGCTGCAGCAAGCCACAGTTTCTCTTTGCAGCTACAGAGGTGCCTATTGTGTATCAGCATTTCCATTTTTAAAAGGACAAGGGATGTTTAGAGGGATAATGAAATGGGAGCGTGCGTTCAGCCAAGGCATGCCCACAAGAAGGGTATTTGTACCCTTTCTTTAACTGCTTTCTGGAGCTTTCTAGAAGGGCTGGCCACTGGGAGGGAATGGTGTGGGGGAGCAAGGGGCTGGACACCCGTGGGTGGAGATGGCAGTCCCTCATGCCTCAGGCAGGGTAAGAAGGAGCCTTCCCCTCTGCTGAATGTGTTTGGGGTGTGTGTGTGTGGGGGGGGATGAACTGGGCATGTTGGTGGCATTGAAGCAGGACAAATGGATCCCCAGTGTGGGTGATCCCACATGGAGCAGCTTGCCATGGGAGCTGGGAAGTGGGGCTGACCCCAAACTTCCCTGTACCTGGTGAGCTGTTGCTCACAGCCTGCAGGACTGGTGCTCCTGTGACCGGTGCAACTGGTTTATACAGTTGCACTGGGCTCAGCCCAAGGTACAGGGGTGACATGGAGCACCTTCCCACAGCCACCCAAAATCCTCCCTAGGGCATGCTGCAACCAGCATTCCCATGCCTCTCACCTCCTCCCCATGAGCTGAATCCAGGACCTGCTCCACCATTGGAACTGCACAGCAGAAACACCTCTCATGCATTAGGTCGTCAGCCACAAGGGACTGGGGAGGTTCAGCTGAAAGTGGTGCCATCTCTGCAGGGAGCCCTTGTCCACACTGTGACGCCCGTGTCTGCCATTGGCCTCCCAAGCCCCACGGAAGGGAGCACCTACCTCCCTTTTGGATTCCTCTTAAATATGGGCCTAAAGCCCCTTTGTCCCCTCTGGCTTTTCTCCTGCGGTGTTGGTACCTGCTGCAGCCCCCCTCCTGCTCCCTTGCTGGTGATGTGGAGCTTTGGCAGGGTCTCTCTGCTGCTGGGTGTTGTGATGGTGTTACAGCACAGGCAGCACAGCCCTGCACCACATAAGGGGGTTGTTGCTCTGGGCTGAGATATTTTCATATCCCTTCAGTTGCTTTGTGAAAATCTGGATTTTTTCCCCACTTCACCTCAAAGGAGACTATTTACATCTTTATTTCACAAGAAGTAAACAATGGAAAAATGCATACAGTTTTATAACACAGGGTTTGTTCTGCTCTCAGCAGAGCTTTAGCAGCGGGTCTGGTGTGCAGCTGATACACCATCAAGGACTTTCCTAGATCTTAAATTGTTTAGGTCCACGAAGTAAGAGAGGGAATTTTCCCTTTTCAGCCTTCACTTTTGCAAGGGAGGCTTATGGCAGGAATCTTGCCTGAGCACAGCACAGCATCGCATCCTCTTTCACACAGTGTGTGCTGCGATGCAAGAGGAGTGATCCTGCTCCCCAGGGGCATCTCTGGGGGAGTGAATTAACGTCTCTGTGTTTCTCCTGCAGAGACAAATTTCAATATACATTCTTCTTAGTGGCTTCTGGTGTTTCGATGCTCAGGCTTGGTTAGCATGATGCCTGATTTCCACTTAGGGCAATGACTGATGGGAGGAGAAGGGCCCAGCCTGGGAATACATAATCCTTGTGGAGCAAGCACAGTGCTGTGACACTGGGAGTACCCATGGGCACCTCCAGCAGCTAATGGGAGAGACGTGCTGGGGAGGGCTGTTAACCCTGGACCGTTCCTGTAGGATTCATCAGCACCATCAAAACTTGTCCCAGATCTTTCTAATAGGGCTCCATGGCTTTACATCTCTGCACACCCCCTGTGGCTTGCCTTTTAGGCTGATAAATTGGTAAAACCCCCTGTTTTGCCAATACACCATCATAAATCATGGATAATTAAAATCTGCTGGTCATGAGATGAGTATTAATCTGCAACCACTGCTCTCTTAAGAACACTTCAGAAACAGGATCTGAGCTGCTGGAATGAGCCGGGTTTGATGTAGTGAATGTATTTCTGTGGAGCACTCTGTTTTGTTTTGACTTTTACCATCAATTGTACATTGCAGAGACAAACAGGCTCCCTTTTTCACTGCTCCAGAACTGCTTTGCTATTCTGCAAGATAAAATGAATTCTTTTCCTTTCTACTTTCTAAGCCAGCTTGGTTCTGAAGGAGCATAAATCCTTCTTTGGAGATGGAGGATTTTGGATGGGGAACAAAGTCCAGCAAATTTTTAATTTGGGGCTCATTTTATTCTCATTTGGCAGCTCCTGTGGATTTGCAAATGTGGATTTTTAAGTTTTTAGGCCCTGAATATGGGCAAGGGCTTCCTCTGACAAGTGTTTGAGCCACTCACTGGGACAACCCTGCTTTCTCCAGAGCCATCTTTGA